CTTTCCCTCTCAGAGCTTTCAGAAAAGCCCAGAGGAACGCTATTATTTGCCATATCTCCTTTATCAGCTTCCTAATCAAAATTGCTGGCTCTTCCACCTAGTTGCCCCATGGGCCCCGAGTTGCCTGGGGCTGCTCTCCCACGCTGGCCAAAGCAAGCCACGAAGAAAATGCACAAAGAAAGCATCTTTCTGCAAGTATCTTTCCATGACGGAGATCTGTCTTGCTCACAGAATGAGCGGAGGAAGCAGATGAAAGGGTGGGAGGTTTGCCAGAGATGCTTCATGGGGCTTCTTTAGCAGCACAGATAATTACAATGATGGATTTGGAGTCTGCTAGAAAGGCAAAGGTGGAAGAAGTAATGGAGTTCAATGTTGGCTTGATACCCTGGAGTTTAATTATTTCAGCTACTGAAGAGTGGAATGGATTCTTGATGTTTGCACATACTGCAGTGTGCGCTTTGCATTGGTGAGCGGCCGCTTCAGAGGAAGGCCTATTGCTTAATAACATCCACGCAGCTTTGCTGGGAGGTTTTGTTCAAGGCTGTTGCTTCTGCTCTGGGTCTCAGTGAGACACAAGCAGGTTTTCAGTCTTTGCTTCCTCAACCTGGCTGGTTTTGGTTGTGTCTTACAGCACAGCAGTGGCTGCAGAGCCAAGGAGGTTGCTGCTGGGTTCGGTGGCTGGAGATTCAGCGTGTCACTGCAGAGCCATGCTCTGAACAGGAGGGGGAATGGAGTGTATTTGGAGGCGAGGTAGTGGCGAGGGGGAAGCAGAGCCTTGGGTAAAGTCCTGGTTGACATCATGGCCCTGAGAAGGGGGATACACCACTGCTCAGGAAGGGACCTGGAAGGTATGTTTGATGGTGCAGCACAAGGAAAATGAGGAGGTTGGACTGAGTTTAACGGTAAAATAAGTAACAGAGGGAAACCTGTGCTGTTGTTTCCATTCTCCACTACTGCAGCAGAAATCTCCGGGAGATGCAGAAAGCTGCCACCAACCTCACACCTATGGGTTGTGCAGGGAAATCTGTGGCCCAGGGTGCAAGGGCAGGGGGAAAAGCTGCTGAGAAAGGCCAAAGACTCTAGGCCAGGAGCACCAGGAAAAGCAGACAGTGAACAGCTCCCAGCACAGGGTGAAGCCACATTTTCTTCTTCCCCGGAACAGTTTTTTTTCCTTCTTTCCCTCCCCAGCACTTAACTCTTTTGAGATACAGCTGCTGAGTATGGCAGGGTAATCAAGGCTTTGGCATGACAAGCTGGTGCAAAGAAACCTAAAACTTTTCTCAGTCTAGTGCCAAACACATGACATCACTCTCAGCAGCCCAGTGCTTCAACCCCGAGGCAGGAAAGTAGGGCTGAAGGACTGACTGCGGTGATTCCTACGTGATGCTTATTTTCCCCCCTGAAAACCAGATCCTCTTTTCTCTTTCTTATCTAGTATTACTGCTAAAGCAGCGGTAAAACTTCCTACAAACCCACTCCTTTTATTTGCCTGAGCTCATTGTGCCAGTCTCCAGGGGACCGCCAGCGCTGCCCCAGCTCCCACGAAGGGAGCAGCGCTGCGAAAGAGGCAAGACAAATGCTCCCGGCCGGCTGCAGCACCCCCACCTTTTTTCCCCTGCGTGCACAGTCAGGAGCAGTCATGAAAACTCCAGCACCAGGCAAGACAAAGGCCTGAAGAGCTTTGGACAATAACATCACGTGCACTCAGGCTAAAAGCTTCGCTCTGAGTCCCAGCTAAGCGTACTCCTGGTTTTGAGGAAAGCTTCCAGGCTGCGTGGTTAGCAGACAACATCAGCAACTGACTGCAGCAATAAACAGGATTTCAGCTGCCTGCTCTTCAGGCACCTTAATGGTCTCCTCAGCAACAAGGCTGTTGAGTGCAGAAGCAGTGACAGACAGGTGTACACAGACACAAAGACAGGGCTGTGAAGAGAGGAAGGAGCAAGATGAATAAAGACTGGACACAAAGGTCACCCTCTCCTCACACAGGGACCACCCTGGAAATTTTCTGCCCTGCCCAGATGCCCCTCCCCAGCCCCTCAGCCCCTTGCTGTCTCTTCACAGCACAGCCCTTTTATCTGACATGGGGCAAGGCATGAGTTGAGCTGCCTTCTCCCCACCAGCTCCATACACATGCAGGAGTGCAGACTGGGCAAGGCTGCTTTTCCTCTTTGCAAAACATCCCATCGTCCAGCTTGAAGCAATTCTGCTGAGATTCTCTTTCCTCTCTTTGTACGGTTTGACAGCAACTAGATTTAAACTTTGGATTTCTTGGCTGTGGGAGTCAAGATCAGAAGGTGAGTCAGCAACCATGTACTTCGATCTGCAAACAGACTGGTGTTTGAATTCAAACAACTTTGCCTTGTCACTTCTAATTTCAGTACTGGATTTACAGTAGCAGTTACCAAGTCCGGTGCTGTGCCTGGGGCCTGGAACGCACATAAAGGAAGAGGAATGAGCCTCTCTGAAGAGCAAGAACTTGGCTGAGGAGTCTGAAAAGGCTGACAGGATTTTATTGAAGTTCAAAATACAAAAAGGTCAGATTGTCTCCCACCCCCTCGGTATCCTTCCCATCCAGCATATCATAACAAAGCATCGGTATTCACAGTGACAGCTCCAGCCAAACCACAAGACCATTAGTCCCAGCCATGGCCTCCAGCATCTCATGGATGAACGCATCTAAAAGCCATGCATACTTCTGTTATCCCAGCTTTGCACATGGAGGTCCACTTAGCCTCTTCCTGGACAAGAGGCCAGATATTAGAGAACATGCTGACCGAAGGTCTTTGGAGAATGCTCCAAACTGTGGCTGTTGTATGGTTAAGCTGAATCCTATGAATGAACACTTCCAAACCAGCGATTCCTAAGCTGTGGGATGGGTATTGCTAGGTGCAATCATTTAGGTGCGGGACACAGGTGGGAACTCAGATTGGGCGTGGTCTTGTCACCCAGCTGCTATTCGCACCCTACCGACAAGATTTACGGATCCCTGCTCCAGAACAAAGCTATCTATATCTTCGTTACTAACCACAGTGGGGCAGAAGCAAAAGATTAGCAAGGGCAATTCCCTGCATCCTTCATAGCTGCATCACTTCAAGCTCCCAGCAGAGGTCATAACTCGTTCCTCATGCTGCACTTAAGGTCCTAGAGCAGCACTTCTCTATGACAAGCAAGAAACATGGGTCAGCTCTGTGTTTGGTGCTGCTGAGGCAGCTGTAAGTCCACCTCCACCCCAGCCCAATAATGTGGCTGATTACACAGCACCTCCTGTTGCAACTGGACCTCTTGCCCGAGACCGCCAGTAATAGGAAAAACAAAAGTCAGTTATGGTAAGGTTTTTTTTGCAAGATGTAGATGTCTGCCTAAAACTGTGTTGGGATTAAGTCATGCCCCAAACCTTATTCTTGTATCTGGGCAGCTCTGACTTGCTAGCTGTCTACCTGGGTTTTTTTTTTTTTTTTTTTTTTTGCAAGTGTTTCACTGTAGTATTTAAGCACTAACTTGCAGCAGTGATTTAAAAAAAAAAACAGTGAAAGCTGTTTGTCTAGTGATTAAAAGCTTTGTATCTCATTTGTAACCAGACATTCTCTGCCTTCTGACCGCAGGCTCTGGGGAAGGTTAGGATTAAGCCTCGGTGTGTGTTTCTCAAGGCAGTATATTTGCTCAGCTGATAGCATGCAGAATTAAGTGTGTGTTGCTCTCATAGTACAAAGCCTTCTGTTGTCCAAGGCATCCACTTTCTCCCCCATAAAATCAATACTGCGGAGGTGGCAAAAGGTGCCTGTTCCAGCATTTCTGTGATTCTGGCCAGCTGCTGAGCACACTAGTCAGGGCTGGTGATTGCACATGGCATCAGCCACCCCCTACAGCGAGCTGAAGTGCTTAGGACAAGGCAGAGTATCTCAGGAAGGGGTATCCTATTCAGCACCAGCCCATCTGATAAAAAGAAGAGCAGCTCTTTTTTTCTAAAAGTCTCAGCTGCAGCACTCTGTTGTCCAAAGCCTGCTGCGTCCCCACGAGGCAGCTGTGGCAGCACCCACAGGGACAGTCTGAGCACCACCGGAGAGTGGATCTAGCAGGAACAGCCACTGGCAGCAACATTTATTCAGTGATCTGGGAAGCAAGCTTCAGCTTCCTCTTCTTCTCTCTTAGGCTTCTCCTCCTGCATCAGGAAGATGACTTGGAAGCCAATTACCTCTTCTCCATCTTCTGCATCTGCAAGCTGAGTGACGTGAAGCTGGCCAGGAGGTCTGTAACCTCATCCACCTGACAGAATACAGTTGGCCGTTAGGCAAAGGAATGCAGTTGTGCAGTTGACCACCAACACAGAAGAAACCCCCACGCAGCAGGGACCACCCTTGCACCAGCACTGCCAGTAATGCCCATGCTGAGCTTACACTTTGACACGATCCCTTTGGTCCCACAATCATGTAGAAAGGCTGCTGTCCTCACAGTCAAACAAGTCCTAATCTAAGGCAATGGGAGCTTCTCCCCATTCCTCAAGGAGGTTGATGCTTGACCTCCACCTCGTGTGATTTAGCCAGCCCTTAAAATAGAAGCATGTCGCTGCAGTACCCAGAACTCAACAATGGTACGGCCTGTTTCCAAGGGCCAATCTTTTGTAGACAAAACCCAAACAGGCCCTGCAACCCTGTGTTGTTGTACTGATCCTGGCCTTAAAACGCCCGTGCCCTCGGCACATCTGATTGCCAGCTTCTCTGCTGAACTGCCAGGCACAGCAATGCTTTCTGCATTTTGAATTCCAACCTAAAGGAGTACCATAAGTCATCACATAACTTGGCCACTTTACCCAATGTGATCAAGAACACTTCCATAACCGCATCTTCAGTGTCACTTTGCTCATGCAGGTGCATTCTCCTAAACACAGAAGTCACAACACAAGTGGGTGAGTCACGGTAGCTCAACGCTGCCTACCTGCTCCTTTGTGCTAGTCATCTGTAACCTGGAGCAGAGGTCATCCAGCTGTTCCTTTTGCTCATGCCTCCCCAGACGGTCCAGGTATTCCCGTAACATCTGGATAATCTGAAACCAACAGGCATAAGAGGCAAACATCAGACAGTTGCACCAGGCTGGGATGTTTTTACAGGAAAAAATAAATTACAGTTAAATTGCCAAGCACAGTCTTGACGCTGCGGTACGTGGCAGAGTACGTGACCCATAGAGAGGAACACATGCAAAGCAACCGGAGAGCACTAATGGCAGCATCAGAGCCCAGTGAGTCACCAGAGGTGTTGATCAGCCACAGATGGACTAGTTGTGATCCCTGTCCCTGGTTTAAGAACAGGGAAGAGAGATAGGCCCAGCTGAAGAAGCATAAGGACTAGCCCTGAAAGCACCAAGCTTTTCTTCATGGCCAGCTAGCTTCCCTCAGTGTGAGGAGCAGGAGCTTCCCACTCCAGCAGGATGTGCTTGTGCACCGAAGATGAAAATTCTTGTGATTCCTATATAGGTCCTGAAGTGAGGCCCACATCTCATGCATTTATGATGCCACCCTGTGACTGCTTTCCTATCCCATGCCTCCACGTATCGGAGCAGGGCAGACAGCGCTAGGAATGCAGAGTCCCTGCTGGAATGTGTATGCCACGGCTACAGCCCCACGCTGTGGTCTCTCTCCTGCCACAAGGCATCTGTCTCACATGGCAGCTGAAGACAAGAGAGTGCTCCCTACAGCCCGAGAATTAAGACGTTCAACGCATCCTTGGCCTACCAGAGCCAAGAGAGGTCCTGCAAAAAATTCAGAGTAGCAGTTGGGAAAAAGGAAGGTCTCTGAAAATAGAAGGAAAAAGTCAAACTCTCCCCAGAGCAGCTAAGAGCCTGCAGACAGGTTATTTAAATAGAGGGTGCAGGAGACTGCCAGGGGCCATACCACATGATGGGACTGTTTTTTTTACCTGTTTCACTTCAAGGCGTACAGCCTCCAGGCTGTGGGAGAGTCCTTCCTGCAGGATGTTTAGCTTTGATTTAGCAAGGTGCAGTGGGGTTCTGCCAGCTCGATCTAAGGCATCAACTCTGGCCCCTGCAAGACGCATGAGCAAGGACAGAACGTGAGATCTGTCTTCGAGATTTAAGTGTCCTTGGGGAGTATCAACAGGGGCAGGGCAGGAAAAGGACAGGCTGTAATTGTTATAGAGGAAATGTTACCTCCGCGCAGCAGCGTGGTGATGACAGGAACGTGGTTCGTGCAGGCAGCTGGGGAGGGAAAACACAGGACACACAACTCAGAGGTACTAGCAGACAACAAAGAAGTTTCTGCTCAAGTGTGGAGCTTGCTGCTTCCCAAACGGCTCTCTGCCATGAGAAAGAGGAACAGCCCAACTGTTAAGGGTAACCTCATGCTCAAGACTAAGTATTCTATCTGGAACAAATACGCTCCTTGGGGCTGGCAGAGGGAAGGAAAGGGATTTTCTCTACCTCTGACCCTTAAACCTTCATAAGGAGCAAAGCTAATGAAATGCAAAGAGTCTCTCCTAGGTCCTTAAAGCTGGGGATGCACATTGTGATGCACAGGAAAGAGGAAGGCAGAGAGGAAAGAAACAGCAAGGCGGTGTTCACCTCACCACTCTGCATGCAAAGCTCACCTGTGTGGCACTTACCCAAGTGTAAGGGGGTGTTTCCCAGCCCATCTCTCTGGTTTGGGTCAGCCCCATGGTCCAGAAGCAGTTGTACTGGGAACAAGGAAACAGAGCCATGTCAGTCTCTTCCCTCTGTCCCACAGGTCAGGCCCACACGGGCAGCAGCCACCAAGCTGCCTTAGGGATGCTTCTGTTCAGCTCATCAACTTTCTCCCAGAAACAGGGGACGGAGGTTTGCGCAGCAATGCAGAAGGACCCAGCACAAAGCCAGGCAGTGCCACTGCCCCTGGGCTCCCAGAGCGGAAGAACTGGGACTAAGGACACCCTTCCTCTGCACCAATACAGCCCTAGAGCTGGGAGCTGTCACACCCCATTAAGCAGGAGGAAAATGACAACCTCTGGAGCCAGAGTTCAGCTGGCAACTTTGCCAGAACACAGCAATCTCTGTCACCTCCTGAACCAAAATAAAGAGCACCCCTTGAAATCTCTGCCACAGAGAAGTCGGATGACAGAACTCCCCCTCCCCGCTCACCGATGTGATCGTTGCCATTGCAGGAGGCGAAGTGCAGGGCTGTCCGGCCTTTGTCGTCCGCGGCACAGGGGTCAGTTCCATCCTCCAAGAGTTGCTGCACTGACAGCGCCAAGAAGTAGAAAAGAGCGGGTAAGCTGAAGGGGCACCTGCTCAGAAAGCGGTAATGCTACCCACTCTTCTGCAGTTAGATACACACTCTGCCAGCTATCAAGTCAACTGGACTTGAACCAGCTCCAGCCAGCATCCCAGCCCAGCAGAACCAGCCTAGGCAACATACCCTCCGCCCTCTGTTACAGACTTCACCAGATTCCATGTACTGCCATAAAAGATGAGCCAACAGCTGTAATGGCTAAGGCTAAGGATCCATCTAGCCAAATTTTCAAGTTCCAAGGACAATTAGCAGCAAACACCTACACAAGAGTATAAAAGACAGCAAGGAAGTGGGGCTAACTCTCACAGCCTTTAGTCAGCTGCATCTCAGGCACTTCCCAAGCTAGTATTAGCATCCTGCGGTTACTATCCCTCCATGGGCTTTCTCCATAGATTTACACAATCATCTTCTGCATCTGTGTAAACTTTTCACATCAACATGGACCCGTGATGAAAAGTTTCACAGTGTAACCACATGCAGTGAGAAAAGTCACCTCTTCACACCTCTTTTGAATATGCCACTTCCTAGATTCATCTGAAACTCCTAATTTTTGCCATGCTAATGCTGACTACTGTTTGGGAAGCAGGCAGGTGAGCACACCAACCTGCCAACAGCAGTGCAAATATACCCCTAGGAGATGATATATTGAAGTGAGCTAGTGAACAGCCTGAATAGCCACACCATCATCTACCCACACTTGTTCCCCCTTGCTTTTCCACCCAGCTACTTCTTCAATACCACCACCACTGGCACTTCTTGTAACCTGAACTATCTCCTTTTTTCAGATAAGGAGGAAAAAACTATTCATGCAGAAGACAGAGAAATTAGTATGACTCTCCAGTATTGGGTATAACAAAGGCAAAGAGTCCAGTAAAGGCTGAAAAGATTAGGGGCATGAAAGTAGCATCTATAGCAACATGTGTAAGGGCAACTATAAGAGCTATTACTCCTGTTGTTTTGAGATTATCCTGATATAGTAATCACTGTGTAAAATGAAGCTCACTCCATAGCTGTTAAAAATACCGACAGATTTGCCACATTTTGAGATCTTTAACAGTATATCCTACAACCATAAAGAAGGGCAAGACAAGAAACTAGATAGCCCAGACCACTGAAAGTCACCATCCTCCTCAGCTTCCAGAGATAGAATTATAGTCACATTTGAATTTCTTCCTGTATACCTACTGCTTTAAGTGTGGTACAGAAGTAAAAAGAACACCTGAAGAGGTGGAAGTAGCATTAAAGGGGGATGTTTGATACTCCAGAAGAGAGGGCAACTGACAGTGCCACCAGTGAGAACCATTAATGGGGAATGCTTTACCTAGTCCTTCCCTGAAGCCAGTAGGAAATTACATAACCTTTCCCATCCAGTGCCCCCACAGGAAACAGCAAAGACTTTTTACTTGTTGATGAAGAATAAATTCATCATCAGACACTTCCTCAAGTTGCAGAGTACACAAAACACAGCAGGATTGTAAACAGGGGAACCTGTGTATCAAATACAGGTGTAAAATTCTAAGATGGATCGAAATGAAAACTTTCATAAAGCCTGATTCTTTCATTCTTCTTCTTGACTTGGTGACTGAAGCCAACCAAACCTTTCTGTACTGATGGAGCTCACAGAGCAACTTTATCCATCAGTTCATGAAACAAGGTGTATTGTGGAACTGAAGGGTGAAGCATGCCAGACAAATGCCTGTAGAAACTGGGAATTTCTACAAGTCTAACCAGTTTCCAGTTCTGTTCACAGAATGGCCTGATGAACAGTTAGGGGACAATACAGTCTAAAGGGCTGAGAGGACAGTACAGTCTAAAGAGGGACAATAAGGGGCAAATAACATATACCAGTATTTCTGCTGAACACTTCATATCAAACCTCACCTAATCTACAGTACAGAGAGATAAAGGGAGTCATGGACAGGCCACGAGCCTTCTCTGAAGTCACTGTGAGAGGCAGAGTCCAGCACTGGTCCTGGTTCTGATCTACTGGGTCACACTGTCTCATCACACAGGGTATGGCTTAGATAATCATAACTTTTCCACCATACTAAAACACTACCTTCTTGCTGCTTACAATTGGGCAAAAGCTACATACCAAAAAAGTGCAGTACTGATCTAGCTTGAGGCAGTTGGAAAACTAACACTATGAACCAGATGCAGAGAAAAAGTGAATATTATAATCAGCCTCACTCAGAGAACAAAACAAGGCTCCAGAAAAGCAGTTTCTAGATTTGCAGCATCCAAAGCACCATGTCCGCAAACTATCAGCACCCTCCTCCTCCCCTCCTAAAATAGAGGTCCTTGACAAAACTGCCCATCCAGGAAAAGATCTGAAGTAGGACTGGCAGAAGCCTTACCTGTGTCCAAGTCGTTGCTATTGGCAGCTTCACGCAGCCTTTTCAGAGCTACGGAGAAAAGAAAGCAGTTACTGGAAAGCACAGAGGAAAAAGGAGTGGCTCCCTACTGAAACATCCCATTCTGGCACTCGAGCCCCAGTGCCAGGCCCAAACCACGCTGGTGCTGGCTCAGCCCAGAGAAGAGGAAGCAGGACATCAAGATGCCAGGTAAGAAGCACTCTCCTTGTCTCCTCCTGAGGCCGGCCACGGGCTCTCCCACTCCCTATGAGCTTTGTCCCCTGGCAGAAGCAGGGGTGCCTTCCCAAGCCGCCCACCAAAGAGATCCGACCTCCTTCCAGAGGCCCC